TTTAGTGTAGCTGGCAGAAAGCTCACATGAGGGTGTCGGCTCTGCCATTTTTCAGAGTATACACTTATGTTACATTTTTATTCTCATCGCTAATTCATGGTTTCTTTGAAGGAAATCTCTTCAGATCTGTGACCATTCTGTGAGATTTAGTCTAGCACAATTTAGGTAATATATTCCATAATTCCTCAAAACTAGATGCCTAAAAAGCAATACTTTACAATATTTGGGACACCCCAGCAAGGGCAACACTGCCAACCACTCCCTGTTGTGGATGTCCCACCAGGTTACCTCACATACCTGTCACAACATGCCACCGTCTGTCATATAGGCCATGAGGGTGGCCTGGTCAATCCATGTATTACATATCAGCAAAGCTCAATTATCATTCTTAAAATAGAAATGTTTAAAAAAAATAGAAATTCTGGGTTTTTTCCTCCACACCAATGAAAGAAACTCCTTGGATCTCAACATGCTAGATAAAATCCCACACTGGGATGTCTTCCTATGGGAGGAAGAACCAACAGTGAACACGTTCCTCACACAATAATTATAACTTTGGGTGGCTTGTGAACACCGTGAGTAAATTCCACATCTAAAATACAGTTGTAGAGCTTATGTAATCCAAGCTTTACTGGCACAAGCCATCACCTGTTTTATTGCACAGAATTAGCCTCCTGGCTTGCCTCAAGCATCCTCCAGGTGCTGTCACACAGGCTCCTAGGAATAGGTGCTCTGCTCCAGTCATTTGTCTGGCCTGTACCAGGGATCCTCAGGAAATGTGCTCTGCTGAGCGTGGCAGCCCTTGGCTGGCAAAAGCTCCTACTAGGTGCACTGGCTTCAGGGGTTAGGGAGATAGGCCAATTTCATTCATGGCCCAGCAGAAACTAGATCCAAACTTTTAATGAAACTTTATTGATGATTTGAGGATAACTAATGGATTTATTTTCCTTTTTTTTTTGGGAGGGGGGATTTTTAAAAATATGTTTTCTAAGGCCACCGTGACCAAGTGCCACAAACTGGGCAGCTTAAAATAACAGAAATTTATTCTCTCACAGTTGTGAAGGCCAGACGTCCAAAATCAAGGTGTCAGCAGGGCTGGACTCTCTGAAGTCTCCAGGGAGGATCCTTCCCTGGCTCTTCCAGATTCTGGGAGCCTAGGGTATTCCTTGGCTTGTGGCAGCATCACACCAGTCTCTTTCCTCATGTAGCCATGTGCCCTGTGTCTGTGTGAGGGTCTCTTCTTGGGAGGACACCAGTCATATTGGAGTAGCATCTACTCCACTCCAAGAGGACCTCATCTTAAACTAATTACACTTCCAACAGCCCTATTTCCAAATAAGATCACATTCTGAGAGTGCTAGGATTTGAGCACACCTTTTTGAAGGACATGTTCAATCTTTAACAGTCAAGAACAATTTACAACTACTGCGTAGTCCCAAACCTGTCCTTAGAGTTCCTTACTGAGCCAACATCCTCCCTTACATGTGGCCTACTTCCAAGGACCTAAGAGGCTTACTCCACTTCCTCCTCAGGAGGCACTCCATGCAACTCTGCACCTCAGGGTCTGAGCCAGACCAACCGATCCCTGATCCCCCGGGCAGCAGAGAGAAGAGGATCTTTTTCATCCCAGTGCAGGTAGGGGACCTGCTTTCCCTAGGACAGCCTCCTGCTAGGATACTGAGGACCGGCCTCTCAAGATTCTGAGAAAACCACGCTCGCATCCACAGGACCACACAATGCAATGACCTTGGCAAGTTTCTCCAAATCTGCCCTGTTTGATTTGAACAATACCCTATATGAGACACAACAGATCAGTCTGATTTGGCTTATGCCATGATTAAGATTATTTCTTTTCTAGTCTTCCTTGGTCAAATATTTAAAAGCAAAACAACAACAACAAAATGCCTTCACGTTCACTTGCACTTAGAGTCACTCTTTCATGTGTAACAAGGTAAAATAATTTCACAAACGTCCTTTTAGCAAAAACAAGCACAGCAGTTTTGCTCTTTGTCTAACCTAATGGTAGATAAAAATAAGTTTCATATATTACCTCAGGGAATTTTTTTTTAATGTGGAGACTAGAAATAAGATGTCATTGAACTTGGAAACGCTCACAGAACATTAATAAATTTCCCACAATAATGAACAGTTCACACTCAAACAATTGCCATTAATTGCCCTACCCAGCAACCCCTGAGGTTTAGGCCAGGTTTAGCATGACCTCCTCACTCAAGGGATGGTGATAATTAGCTGAACACATCCTGTCCTCTCTCCGGAATTTAAGTGGAAGAGACAGAATTCTGAGATCCCAGGGAAATGGGATATAGTGGAAGGACACACAGAGGGAAGACAGCATGCAGAGACCACAAGACAGAGCATTCCTGAATAAGCAGAACCTTGCAAAGGAGATACTGATTGGTGGCTGAAGTTCCAGCGCCTTCAACAGTTAACAAGTGATCTCAATCAGTAGAAGCACTTTGAATTCAGAAGCAAACACATTTCTCCCCCTCATGTTCCAGTAAGATCTGGCTGTGGTCAGTGACTTCTGTGTGAATTCACACTGTCAGTCTCAAATAATTTTAGGGAGCCTAAGTCATTTATTTCTTTCCTTTTTTAAATATTTTATTTATTCATGAGAGACAGAGAGAGGCAGAGACACAGGCAGAGGGAGAAGTAGGCTGCATGCAGGGAGCCTGATGTGGGACTCGATCCTGGGACTCCAGGATCACACCCTGGGCCGAAGGCAGACGCTCAACCACTGAGCCACCCAGGCATCCCGCCTAAGTCATTTCTTAAGCCAATTCTCCCCATTCTGAAATAATGGAATCTTCAAAATTCCTGGATCTGACTTTAATGGCTTTAAGACAATGGGAACATTTCTTTAAGGACTTTGTCCTTTACAACAGAGCTTCTCAGTGTGGACTCCTACCATTCCCAGGCTAGAGCAACAAACTCTGTGAGGCAACGCACAATAAGAAATACATTTTGCAACGGAACTTAGTATGCAAAACATACATACGTAACACATCTACAAATATATGTACACACACAACAGAACAATACAATACAATACCAATAGGAGCAATCCATTTTCTATTCTGTTCTTCTATTTAAGAAGATAGAAGGTGACACCCACAAATCTGATTTCACAACCATCCAGGGAGTCTAGGAGCTTTAGTTCAAAATACTGTGGTAAGCAGCACCCAAGTTCACAGGATAAAAACGATACGTTTTCCGAGAGACCTGAAGTTTTAAGACCTGAAGTTTTTCGATATTTCAACTAACTACAGAGTAGAATGCAAAAACCATTAAGATAAAACACAGAATTCCACAGATATTTCTCCATTCCAGCTGGTTGTCTCGGGCTTCAATCTGTAGAGCCCCTAGGATGTGAACACACACTCCTTCTCTTAGGAGCACCTCAGCAGGATGCTGGAAGGATTCTGCCCTGGGCCAGTGTTCCACCTCAACAAGGCATATTTAGGGGACAGTCACACCTCTAAATCTTCATCCCCGGGAATCCAATCCTGCCACTCCTCTGAGCTCCCCGGGAAAGGCAAAGGGCTGTAACCAGCAGGTGGTTGCCCCAACACTGTCAAACAGCCGGAGGACAGGAGAGGCCTTTCACAGGAGCAGGGGAAGTCTCTGCTTCTTTAGCAACCACCAGGGGCAAGAAGATGAAGTATGACGGAAGTTTGTCTGCCTGGCTGCTGAGGTCCCAAGCGCATCCTCATTTCTCAGACCTGGCTCCCGCCTTTCATTTTCCGTGACCGAGGCCTCCAGCGCAAGCATCCCTTCCTCTCCTCCAGCATTCGTGCTCTTCACCAGCACCACGCGGGGGGGGGGGGGGGGCGGTTCTGGGGTACTTACTGTGGCAAACACAGCAGCGTCCCCTTCCGGGAGAGGTGAGCCCAAACAGAAGGGCGAGCCCAGCCGACTTGAGCGTACCCCCTACACGCACCGACGCCCGCAAGGATGCTGCTGGAGCGTTCTCAGCTTGTGACGGCAGGTGTTTGCTACTGAATCAGCTGCGCAGGTGTTGACAGGTAAAGAGGTGTTGACTCGTGCTATTTACTCTCTGTGGGCTGTGCCAGGTTCACCTGTGGCAGGGCTGACCCCAGTACTGGGGAGGCACATTTTTAGTGAAATGTATGACATTTGGAATTGAACGCATTATTCCATCCTTCCCAGGGTCCTTCATTCAGGGATGATGCCTGGTAACCACCTACAACCTCAATCCCAGATTTTCTAACTCTAAACAGAGTGAAGGGATTAAAATATAAATAATAACTTTTAAAATGCCACCAAAAACGGAACAGCCAGCTCACCGCCCAGCCCGCAAGAACTACGTGCCTCGCGCCTTTTAAGGGCTCTGTAGGCGCGAGTCCGCCAACCGCTCAACCTCCCGCCAATCACTGCGCTCCCCACAACCTGCCCCGCCCCCGCCCTGCTCTAACCAATCACTGGGGAGTTAGCGTCTCCCCGCCCCTCCCTCCCACCCGCCCCCAACCCCTGAGACGTTGGAATACTTCAAACTTTGCTCGCGCTCAACCGCGAGGTCGCAGCCGGAATTTATTTTTAGCTCCGGGTGAGCAGCCCCGCCCTCGGCTCCGCCTCCTAGCCGCCCCCAATCGGAGACGGAGTTTCCGTCGCGTCATCGCGCGGGCGGGCGGGAGCTGCCCAATCAGCGCCCGGGGAGAACTGGCGTAATTAAACGGCGGCGGAAGAGGGTGGGAGGGTCATGACGCAGCGAGTTTCAGTCGTGACTTTTCCGGGGGCATCTTGGCGTCCCCTCTATTTCCCCTTAAAGTAAAACGTCGTCCGACGCACCCTCGTGCGTTCCGGGGGCGGGGGCGGCCGCCACGCCGGGGGGTCGGGGGGGCGGCGCTGACGCGAGCCGCGGCGGGGCCGGCGGCGGCGGTCACGTGGCCGTGTTTGGGGGCGGGGCCGCGCGGCGGTTCCGGGCGGTCGGGCGCGCGAGCGAGGAGCCCAGGCAGCCGCGCCTGCCCGCGCCCGCCCGCCCCGCCCCTGGATGCCGCTCTGCCCCGGCGCGGCCGCCGCCGATCGCAGCACAGGAGCCGCCGCCGCCGCGGTTGATGTGGTTGGCCTGGGGCTGAGGAGGCCGCCAAGATGCCGCAGTCCAAGTCCCGGAAGATCGCGATCCTGGGCTACCGGTCTGTGGGTGAGTGGCGGGCGCCGCGCGGCCTCCGCCGCCACGACCCAGCCTCGCCTGGGCGCCGGGACGCGGCGGCCCGGCCAAGTTTGGGGTCGGCGTGGCCATGTGGCGGCCGCGCGTTTCGTAACCAGCCGCCCGCCGCCGCCACCTCCATCTTGAGCGGAGGCGGCGAGGCTGGGCCCGCGGGGCGGCGGGGCGGCGGCGGCGGCGGGGGGCGGCCCGGGCTCGGCCCGGGCTCGGGAGGACGTGCCGGGAGGACGTGCCGGGGAGGCCGCGGGCGGGCGGAGAGGCGCGGGCCGGTGCGGGGCGGCGGAGGGCTCCGCTCCCGGCCACAGCCGCGGCCGGGAGCCATCGCACCTGTCCCCCCTCCACCTCCTCGCGGAGGGCCGGCGCGGTCTTGCCGGCGGCCTTTCCTCCCCCAGTTAAATAAAGTCCGGGGAATTTTAACAAAGGAGACGGCACCTTGGTGCTTTCCTGTCCGTGGCGAAGTGGAGCGTTTTAAAGAAAGCCGGGGACCCGAGGGACGTTTGGCTGCGGAGGGCAAGCTTGCTAGCGAGGAAACCCCCAGGAGCCCCTCGATGCGGCCGGCGACCCAAGTAGGAAGGCGGGGAAAACGAGATTTCTTTCTCTCGGTGTCCTATTTTTCTTCAGGAAAAAAATAAGGTCGGGCACTTGTAACCGGGCTGTTGAAGTGGTTCAGAAGTTTGCCGGGGTGTTCCCCCGCTTGGAGGCCGACGTGTATTTGCAGCCGTCCCTGGCGGTCGCCTTCTTGCCGGACGGGGTGGTCGGCGGTGGGGCCGGGGCTGGCCCGGGGCTGGCCCGGGTGCAGAAGCCGAATGAGGACACAGAATCGTTGAACTTAGCCGTGCTTCAGGGCGAGGCTTTATTGTCTTTGACAACCGGAAGCCCGGAGAAATTACGTTGATGTGTTCGTGTTGGTTTTAAGTAACTGTCTAAGAAAAAGGGGCGCTTGGTCGTGGGGGGCGGGGGGGGGCGAAGGTTTGGAGTCCACGGCGGTTGCAGGAGGAGGCAGCAGTAACTGCCGTAGGAAAGCTTGTCACTGCCTGCTACCCACTGGATGAGCTCCCCACTCCGCGCTCTGCTCTGCTTCCTCACCCCCATTTTCCACCGCCGGTGCCAGGGTCTGTGCTCTTTGACCAAGATCAGCTACGGCATGCTTACTCATCCCTTTATCATCTCTCCCGTCAAAGTGCTGCGGGGTGGAGGGATCCTAAGAATGGGGGGGGGGGGAATCAAAGGTGGGGAGATGCTTGTGTAGAGGTAGGGGGTGCCCAGTCAGAGGGACAACTCGTGTGAGGCAGTCCCAAATCCTCGGTATATATGTGGGGGAAGAATGGGTGAGGGCCTGGGCAGCTGCAGCCCTGGAGTAACCACGCATCACATCCAGGCTTTAAGAAATCACCAGCAGTCCTCTCGCCCAGTGCCCCTGTGGAATCGAACCTTGACTGGCGGCCTGAATCACCCAGCTCTTGCTTCTCTCTTCTCTTTATTTCCTTGGCATTTTGAAGAGGGGATCCAGGACATATACTGACTCTTGAGTGAGTTCCGATCACATGCATAGATACATAGTGTCCACACTAGTTGAGGATAGCTGTTCTCCCAATGATTAAGTTTAAGATGACCTCTACCTGGGCTACCTGTTTTCAACTTGAGAGAATGTCCTAAAGATAATCCTTGAAATTCTCCAGATGGTAATTCTAGTCTTCCATAATAAGCAAGTCTAGTGTTTTATTGGGGTTTTCCTTATGTCCCATGGAGATCTGTTCTGTCTTCCATCTAATCCTCATCCTCCTGAAGACCCAGGTGGGACAGGCCACCCCTTAGCCTTCTCTTTACAAACATTTATTTTAAACTGCTTTTTGAAATACTGTGCTCACCTGGCCTCCAGTGGGATACACATTAAGTTCTGGTCCCTGTTTTTTTGTGGCTTCGGTATGTCACAGTACTGTATGTAGCCTGCTTCAGGTGCCGCGATGATTAAAGTGAAAGGTATTTTGGAGAGGTTAAATTACTCCCAACCTTTGCCTTTGATTTTAAAGTTGTTTACCTTTGTCCTTTGTAAGGAACCAAGACACTTTGTGGTTTGTGGGTCTTTTGTTTTGCCAGCATCAAAAAAGGAAGTATTTCCCAGATGCAATGTCCTAGCCACTCTTTAGAGCATTATCCAGTATTCAGACTTGTAAGAATTTATGGACACGTTTGCTTGCATGTGGTGCTTATCCTAGAAAAGTTTGAGTATGTGTGTTTCTAGGTTGTGTTGTTTTGTGATGCTGGGCTATTCTGTCATATTGACTAAAGGTGAAGAGTGTGCGACTCTTGATCTCAGGATTGTGAGTTCTAGCCCCATGTTAGGTGTAGAGATTACTTAAATATATATATATATATATATATATATATATATATATATATATATATATATATATTTTAGAGCGGTAGGAAAAGGCTCTGCTAGAAACCACACCTTTCTTAGAATGTTCTCTTGATTAAATTATCTTATGGTGGTTTGGCTAGTAAGATACTTGTCATTGTGCCTTTGTCATGTCACAAACTTTAATAGTTTTCCTTCAGATAAAACTACTAAGTGCTATGATGGTTTTACTTGGCTTTCAGATGTTGTGTATTTTTAAAACATTGATAAAACTACCACCGAGGAGTATAAAATTCTCAGGTAATTTGTACAACCCTTTTTCCTGAAGTACTTTTCCGGTTATTTACAGTGTTAAGCTTTTAAGGACACGTCACCTATAACGCAGTCTGGCTTTCTGGAAATGCTTTGTATTAATTGTTTTCGTAGTGGCAAATGATCACACTCCCCTACGTCCATTGTTTCTAATACAAACAAGTAGTCCCATGATAGGAGGTAACTCACTTAATCAAGTTAAAAAAAATGTAGTGTCAGGTAGCGATCTTTAAATAAAATCTGGTACATCCTTTGCCAGAATCTTCTGCAGAGAGTTTTGATAATCTGATTTACCATCAGACCATAATCAAAAGATTTTTTTGTCCTATAAAAGTCTCTGAGGTTAACAAAAGGGAGAGGAATGTAAAATTATAAAAGAGAAAATGAAACAACTGTGTGGTTTGGTAAAAGTTCAAAAGTAACTCAAATTATTACCTTGTCAAAATGTTTTAGGTAGTAAAGAAGATGCACCTTTTAGTTGGATACTTCATAGGGGAAAAAAATCATTAGATTTGTTCCCAATAAAATACAATCCAATTATATTCTGATTTAGTGTCTTTTTCCTGACACATCATTGAAAATGTTAAAGGTAAAACATTCTTTGCCATTTATGAAAATCTATTAGCATGTGAAGTTGTGTGTTCAGGCACTCATTGTACCTTTGGGTAGAGAAGTCCTGTAGTGGCCACCTTCTGTTGAAGCTTGAAATTAACTTTTTTTTGGGTGATGGTGGCCATTTGTTTTATACAAGAGGATAGTCAGAGCTTACATTTGTGATTTTGAGGGCAGCCCTGGTGGCGCAGTGGTTTAGTGCCGCCTGCAGCCCAGGGCGTGATCCTGGAGACCAGGGATCGAGTCCCACGTCGGGCTCCCTGCATGGAGCCTGCTTGTGTCTCTGCCTCTCTCTCTCTCTCTCTTTCTATCTCTCATGAGTAAATAAAATCTTTAAAAAAAAAAATGTGATTATGATACTTCAGTGACGGATGTTATTTTGATGTCCAGGTGGGTTATGTCTATTCATAATAACCTTCGTCACCCCTAGATAAACCGTCTACCTATTGACATACTCTCCCACTCACCCCTTCTCCTGGCATCTACTAACCTGCTTTCTATTACTATGAATTGCCTATTCTGGACATTTCATAGAAATGAAATCATATATACGTGGTCTTTTGTGATGGGCATCTTTCATTTAATGTGAATATTTTCAAGATTCATCCATGTCGTAGCATATACTAGTAATTCCCTTTCGTGGCCAAATAACATACCGTTATTTGTTTTTTTTTTGTTTGTTTGTTTTTTGTTTTTTTTTAATTTATGATAGTCACAGAGAGAGAGAGAGAGGCAGAGACATAGGCAGAGGGAGAAGCAGGCTCCATGCACCGGGAGCCCGACGTGGGATTCGATCCCGGGTCTCCAGGATCGCGCCCTGGGCCAAAGGCAGGCACCAAACCGCTGCGCCACCCAGGGATCCCACATACCGTTATTTGAATATACCACATTTTATTTATACATTTGTCAAATGATGGACATGTGGTTGTTTCTGCGTTTTGGCTCTTATGAGTAAAGCTATTATGACAATTCCTATAGAAATTTTTGCGTAGAAATAACTTTTCATTTCTCTTGGGTATGTATATTCCTAGGAGTGGAATTACTGGGTCATATGGTGACTCTGTGTACCATTTATTTTTTTAAAGATTTTATTCATTTGAGAGACAGAGCACAAGCAGGGGGAGGGGCAGAGGAAGAGCGAAAGGGACAAGCCGACTCCCTGCTGAGTGGTGGGGCCCTGAGATCATGACCTGAGCAGAAGTCAGACAAAACAACCAACTGAGCCACCTAGGCGCCCTTATGTGCAACATTTTGAGGAACTGCTAAAACTGTTCCACAGCAGCTGTGCCATTTTACATTCCTACCAACAATTGAGCATTGGTTTCAGTTTCTTTACATTTTCATCAACACTTATAATTGTCTTTTTGATTTTAGTGGTGCTTATAGGTGTGAAGTGGTATCACATGAGATTTGCACCTAATTTCTTCCATCCTGTGGGGTTGTCTTTTCATGTACTTGATGATGTCCTTTGAAGCAAAATATTTCAATTTTGATAAAGTCCAGTTTATTTTTTCTTCGGTGACTTGTGCTTTTGGTGTCATGTGTAAAAAACCATTGCTTGATCCGAGGCCATGTAGATTTATTACTATGTTTTCTTCTAAGTGTTTTATAATTTTAACTTTTACACGTTTGATATCAGAGTTAATTCTTGTATATGGTAGGGGATGGGGTACAACTTTAGTCTTTTGCATGT